TCTCTTTTATGAATTTCTGGAGACTAGGCTCCCTACAGTGCCCTGCACATATCAGGCACTCCTGCATATGCACAAGGCTTAAAAATCTGCCAACTCACCACGTTTCACACCCCACCCCTGCCTACATCATTGCAGTTAAATTCTGACGGGGGTTGAGAAAATGGCCTGGTACTTCCTTTGGGTAAATGCAATTGGTATTGCAAAATTAAGTTGTGACTTTGAAACTTGTCTGCATCTGTTTGCATGTGGATATTGAAAAAAGGAGTGGTAGCTTTTATAATTGTTAGGGCAAAGAAGGATTCTGTTTCTAATCTGGGGCAACCAGCTGACTCATCAAGTGTCTTTGACCTTTTAGGTTTCCATCTTCCTCCTTAGGAAAATGGAAAACTAAGCAAGTTTGCAGACAGCCCAAACATGACATTGAGGAACAAATGATTTTTCATAAAGAAAACTAGCCCTAGCTGGTTTGGCTCAGTGGATAAGAGCATCAGCCTTCGGACTGAAGGGTCCCGGGTTGAATTCTGGTCAAGGGCACATACCTGGTTTGCGGCTTGATCCCCAGTAAGCGACTATGTGTAGGAAGCAGCCAATCAATGATTCTGTCTCATCATTGATGTTTCTATCTCACCCTCTCCCTTCCTCACTGAAATCAATAAAAATAAATTTTATTTTATTTTATTTTATTTTTTGTTTTGCTGATCTTTTTTTTTTTTAATAAGTTTTTATTGTTCATATTATTACAAATGTTCCTTTTTTCCCCCCCTACCATTGCTCTCCTCCACCAGGTTCCCACCCCACCCTCTGCCCTTTCCCCACTCCCCATTGTCCTCATCCATAGGTGCACAGTTTATGTTCAGTCTCTTCCCACGCCCCCCTCTCCCCTTTTCCCCAAGAATTGTCAGTTCACTCCCCTTCCATACCTCTGATTCTATTATATTCAACAGTTACTATTGTTCATCAGATTTTTTTTTTTAATTCCCTTGGTTTTTAGATTCACTTGTTGATAATTACGTATTTGTTGTTCATAATTTTTATCTTTGTTTACTTTCTCTTCTGAAAGAACCCCCTTCAGCAATTCATATAATTCTGGTTTGGTGTTGATGAACTCCTTTAGCTTTTTTTTATTAGTGAAGCTCTTTATCTGACCTTCGATTCTGAGTGATAGCTTTGCTGGATAGATTATCTTTGACTGAAGGTTCTTACTATTATTCATCACCTTGAATATTTCTTGCCATTCCCTTCTGGCCTGCATGGTTTCTGTTGAGAAGTCAGCTGACAATCGTATAGGTGCTCCTTTATAGGTAACTACCTTCTTTGCTCTTGCTTCTTTTAATAGTCTCTCTTTGTCTTTTGCTCTTGGAATTTTAATTATGATGTGTCTTGGTGTGGTCCTCTTTGGATTCCTTTTGTTTGGAGTTCTGTGCACTTCCTGGACTTGTAAGTCTAGTTCTTTCACCAGGTGGGAAAAGTTTTCTGTCACTATTTCTTTCAGTATGTTTTCGATATCTTGCTCTCATCTTCTGGGACCCCCATAATTCTGATGTTGGTTTGCTTGAAATTGTCCCAGAGGTTTCTTACATTATCTTCAATTTTCTGGATTCTCTTGCCTTCTAGCTTCTGTGGAGGAGTGTCTTCTGGCTCTTTATGTTCCCAATCTTTGACTTGATTCTTGCTATCTTCCCTTCTGTTTTTAGGACTCTGTAAAATATTTTTTATTTCAGATAATGTATTCTTTATTTCTTGTTGATCCCTTATCATTTCTTGATGACTCCTTATTAATTCTAGTTGATCTCTTTTCATATCCTCATAGGTCTTATCCATCTTTTCTAGGAAATTCTTGAAAAACCTTATAAGCGTAGATTTGAACTCTATATCCAGACACTTTTTGTCCTCCATTTCTTTTGTTTGTGATCTATTATGTTGTTGCATTTCACAGTTACAGATGGGACAGGGTTTCAGGGTGGAGCCTGCAGCTTTGGCTTCCGTCAGCCCCGCCCTATGCGGGTCTTTCAGTACTCCTTGCAAGCGCTTCTGAGAGAAAGGTGCCCTGGATTTTCGCCTGCTGCCAAACAGTCTATGCTCTCCCCCAATGAGTCCGGTATTGGGGTTCAGTTTAGTTGGAAGTGGAGTTGGAGGTGGCGTTCAGAGCAGTCTGAAGCCCCTGTCTCCTTCCCGCCAGGGCAATCCCAAGGCACAGTCGGCCGTCCCTTCTCTGCGCGCAGTGTGCGCGCCTCTGGGACCTCCTTTCACTGCTTCCCCGGGTTCCGCCTTACAGCCCGGCTCCCTATGGCTGAGCCTGGGTCCCCAGGGTCTGGCCTAGAACTGGGGTTCAGAGCAGTAGGAACTGGGGCCCAGCACAGTCGGAGCTTTTATCTCCTTTCTGCTAGGGAACGCCCGCCAGGCACTCCGCCTCCCTCCTCTCCGGCTCCATCCTCTCCGCGCGCCGCGTCTCCGTACCTTGGGCTTTTCCAGCTCCTCCGCGCTTCCTTCTGGTTTTCTCGCTTCTCGCTGTAGGATTTCCAGTCAGTCAACTTTCCTGTAGTTCTGGGTAATGTCCGTTTTATATTTTAGTTGTATTTTATTGAAATTGTTGTGTGCGTCTGCGGCTAGGTGTTTACCTGTCAGCCATCTTGGATCCCTCTCTAAAAATAAATTTTAAAAACAGAAAACAGCCAAAACTGGTTTGGCTCAGTGGATAAAGCGTCGGCCTGTGGACTGAAAGATCCCAGGTTCGATTCCGGTCAAGGGCATGTACCTTGGTTGCGGGCACATCCCCAGTGGGGGTGTGCAAGAGGCAGCTGATCGATGATTCTCTCATCAATGTTTCTAACTCTCCCTCTCTCTTCCTCTCTGTGAAAAATCAATAAAATATATTTTAAAAAATAAAAAAAATAAAAATAAAAACAGAAAACAATGGAAAGACTAAAAATTCAAGAAAAATTAATAACCTATTTTGATTTCCTTCTGACAGATTAAATGAGTATAAATTTACCATCTCCAAAGGAAACTTGTCAGTGGATCTTATAAAAGCTCCATTTTAGGAGTATGGCTTCTTTCCCCCCTCTCACCACTAGATGGCAGCAGGAAGCAGAGGAACCTATTATACAAAAAAAGTAAAAAGAAAGTAAACAGAAGGGTTGGCTGCATGCTTGAGATTTGTTTCAAGAATCATGTTCTGCTTATAGTAACTCTTCCCTACAGTTTCATTTACCAAACAATTCTAAGTTTTTTCAGAGCTAATTTAGGTACCTAGATATTGATTTAAAGAAATACTCAGCCGGGATTTTGGAGCTGGCTATAACTTTTAAAAATAAAGAAAATCTTGAAGTGGAGGAAAGGAATGGGAGCATTAGAAGGAGATTTAGGAAATTGCTCTTCTTTTTTTCTTACTTTGTTGTGCATTAGTGCCTAGTGAGTAGTTTGCTGCTAAGAACTGGTGTCACGGAGTTGCCTTGGATAGGAGCCCCAGGTCAGGATATTCCTGCACTCTCTCCAAAGGCAGATGTGGTAGGTCATTATGGCCCTTCTGTGCATCGGGGAAACAACAGCACATCCTGCTTCTGACTCCTCTGAAATCTGTTTAAAGATAGGAGTGAAAATTATTATTTAGAAATTTGTAAATAGCTCAGTACAGATTCTTAGGGTCAGTGGGAAGGAGCCGTGGAATTAGGTAGGGTGGGGGGTGAAGGACAAAAATGTAACAAGAGTAAACATAGCAAAGGAGCAGCCAGTGTTTAGAGGCTGAGTTTAGGCACCTCTGTTAGTGGAGGAATCCTGTCTGGACAGCTGAAATGAGACTGGGAAAATAGTAGGAAGTCACTTACTACCTCTCCTCCTCATCCTACTCCCTGAAATTCCTGCCCCTGCATTGTCAGAGTGCTTACTGCTGTCCTGCTTGCATAAGCCACTCATCTTAGTCTGTGGCCAGGTCCCTGCATGTAGGTATCCTAGAAGACTGGGAGCCCATGAGGAGGGGGACCACCCTATTTGTCTTGATAGTCCATAGCACTTGTTCCTGGCCCAGGGCAGACTTTTTTTTTTTTTTTTTTTTTTTTAATATATTGATTTTATACAGAGAGGAAGGGAGAGAGATAGAGAGCTAGAAACATCGATGAGAGAGAGTCATCGATCAGCTGCCTCTTGCACACCCCCCACTGGGGATATGCCCGCAACTAAGGTACATGCCCTTGACCGGAATCGAACCAGGGACCTTTCAGTCCCCAAGCTGACGCTCTATCCATTGAGCCAAACCGGTCCCGGCAGGGCAGACTTTTTATAAACGAGCAGTTAAACTAATTTAGTTGAGGATATGGGGAAGCAAGAGTATCAGTGCAGACAGATGGTCTTATAAGAAGTAGGGTTTGTGAAGGCTGGTGACTGGGTGCAGGGGAGAAAAGGAGTGAAGCTGAGCAAGGCTCTAGGAAGGCTGGGAAAGGCTTTAGCACTGGCCTGTGCAACAAGGTGGAACCTGGTGCTGGTGGCTAGCCCCCACCAAGCCTGAGAAAGAGCCTGTCCTGCCAGGGCCTCTAACCTAGTTAAACCAACTTAAACAAGAGATGGGTTCGTTCCCATAGTGGAAAGGCCCGTGTAGGGCTAGGGAATGGCTGGTCTCTGGTATATTTAGATCCAAACTCACATGATGCCCATATGTATCCTCTGGCTCTTTCTCCTCTGTTCCATTGTTGGGCACACCCTCACACTGAATGACTGAGCAGCATCAAGCTTGTGTCCTGCACCCATCCATCAACTGTAACTGGGTTGCTTTCCCACAGCTGAGTTAGAGGTCCTGACTCATGCAAGGCCACAGGACCAGGGAAAGGGAGAGGCAACCCAGAGAGGAAATGGGGGAGGGGTTCCTAGAGTGGGGAGTGTAAACTGGGTAGGCAAAATCATCAGGAGACCATGGCAGGGCTCCAGGACCCTAGTTTGAGTCACCATAAGAAGCAGAGGGCCTTTTACATGCTTCTGTGCACATAACCACTCTCTTACATATTTTTTAGCATCTCCATGACACGGTGAAGAGGAATCTCGATAGTACCACCTCCCCTCAGAATGGCGATCAGCAGAATGGCTATGGAGACCTCTTTTCTGGGCACAAGAAGACCCGCCGGGAGGTTCCCATGGGAGTAGGTGTCTCTTCCAATGGCCTGCCTCCAGCCTCCCCCCTCAGTCAGCCTGATGAGCCCGGTGCAGAGGCGCTGCAGGCCAGCGGGAAGCACTCGCTGGGGCTGGACTCCATGAACAAGAAATGTCTGGCAGACTCGCACCTCCACCTGAATGGAGGCAGCAACCCCAGTGAGTCATTTCCTCTGAGCCTGAATAAAGAGCTGAAGCAGGAGCCTGTCGATGACCTGCCTTGCATGATCGCAGGGGCCGGAGGCTCCATATCCCAAAGCAACCTCATGCCTGACCTCAACCTGAACGAGCAGGAGTGGAAGGAGCTGATTGAGGAGCTGAACAGGTCGGTGCCCGATGAAGACATGAAGGATCTGTTTACTGAGGATTTTGAGGAGAAGAAGGACCCAGAGTCTTCTGGTTCTGCCACACAGCCCCCCTTGGCACAGGACATTAATATTAAGACAGAATTCTCTCCAGCAGCCTTTGAACAAGAACAGTTAGGCTCTCCACAAGTGAGGGCTGGGTCTGTAGGACAGACCTTTATGGGTCCTTCATCCGGGCCTGTGAGCACAGATTCATCCAGCCTAGGGGGCTCTCAGCCTCTCTTCCACACCTCAGGTCAGCCAAGGGCAGAAAATCCCAGTCCCAACCTGATGCCGGCCTCAGCCCAGGCCCAGAATGCACAAAGAGCCATCTCCAGTGTGGTGTTGCCTAGCCAGGGCTCAGGAGGGGCCTCCGAGCTGTCCTCTGCCCACCAACTCCAGCAGATCGCCGCCAAGCAGAAACGCGAGCAGAGGCTCCAGAATTCACAGCAGCCTGCCCCGGCACCAGCAGCAGGCCAGATGTCCACCTGGCAGCAGACTGGCTCCTCCCACAGTCCTTTAAATGTTACTTACCCCATGGAGAAGCCTGCCAGCCCTCCCAGCTACAAGCAAGAGTTCACCAACTCCAAACTGCTCATGATGCCCAGTGTGAACAAGAGCGCCCCTCGTCCTGGAGGTCCCTACCTCCAGCCCAGCCATGGAAACCTGCTGAGTCACCAGCCACCAAGTAACTTGAGCCAGAACGCCATGACTAACCAAGGGTCGATGCTGGACTATGGCAACACCAAGCCCCTTTCTCATTACAAAGCGGACTGTGGGCAAGGCAGCCCTGGGGTTGGTCAGAGCAAGGCATCCCTGATGTCTTATCTTCCCCAGCAGCTCCCTCATTTGAGCAACGAGCCGAACTCTATGTTTCTGATGAAACCAAAGCCGGGAAATATGCCTTTCCGATCTCTCGTTCCACCCAGCCAGGTGAGCCTGTAGCTTTGCTCTCTTTCTCTGCATCCCTGTCCTTACCCGGCCCCTGGGGAGCAAAGGGGAGGGGGAGGGGCCGCTGCAGGCGTCCTTTTGATCCCGGGCACTAAATGGGTCTAGGCTGCCTGTCACTTCTTGAGCCAGATTTAAGCTCCACTACCTGGGCATGTGCCCTGGCCGGGCCTGGGTTGAGAATAAACAAAAAGAGTAAAATGTCTTTGGTTTTAACTATGCACATTTTTGAGGAATCAGCTGCACTTAGTCTTGTGTCTCTTTTATGCTACACAAAGTAATTTGTGGCTGGAATCTGCTGCTTAGAGGCTTCTTCTTTTTTAACCAGTTTTCAGATCTCTGTGTTCAAAATCTTTTATTAAGTTTTAGTAAGCTTATAACCTTTTAGGTGAGCGCTGCTTTCTAACGTATCTGAGTTCCGTGGCTCTTCAGTCATGATGCACAAGCCCAGCAGAACCACCTGTCTCTGTGGGAGGAGGGTGGTCAAAGATGCCTCCTCTCTGGGAGCCTTCCGAGGGCTGGACCTCAGACATGCACATGTCCCTGGCTTCCTCTCAGACAGGCTGCACACACTCCCTTTGCTCACTCCAGTGTGCCTGGGCTGTTTTCCACATGTGCACATCAGGCCCATTGAAACGTTTTAACAGTTGTGTGACAATAGTTGTGTAACGTGTATTGTCTCCTGTTCTTCACTGCTGTAAGCAAGCCTGCGGTGAACACCTTTAGGTGTGCCTTTGTGTATTTGTAGCTGGTAATAGCATGAAGAAATTGACATGCTCACTGGGCACAGTGCTTTTGGAAAGTAATTTTGGCATTATGTATTTTTCGTAAGCCATAAAAATATTCATAAGCATTGTCACATTATACCTCTGCAAAAAATAATTCCCCTAAAAGAGAAAGTTACATGCCAAATATTCATTGCATGTTTATATCTGATAGCCCCAAAACTGGAAGTAGTTTAAGCATCTTTCAACAGGAGCGTGCATGTGTAAATGTTGAAGCTTCCACTCATGTCAGCCATTAAACTGCAGCATAGCCACTGGCAAGCAGCAACCTTAAGAAAGGGCGGCACCTCACAAAGCACTCTTGTGGCCCGTGAGCTTTTGCAGATCGGGGTGAGGAAATCACATCAGAGTCTGTCTGCTCTAAGATTAGAATCCTGTACAGATTAAATATACAAATGAATAAGGACTACAAAGGAGCTTAAGAAGTTGAACTTATCTAAATGATAATTGCTTTTTATCTTTTTCCTTTTTTGAGTTAAATTTCTCCCCTTTATTTTAAAATGTAAGTAGTAATGTTGCAATAACATTGCAATAACCTTTGACATGACTCAATTTTGGTCCATGTGTTAATTGAAAATATTCATTAAAATTCTCATCAATACTCAGTATTTTTTAAGCATAAATATCTGACAAAATCCTAGCAGTCTCTTCCCAGGAAAATGCTATAAACAAGTGGGCAAGCAAAACAATTTCGGGCAGTTCAGGGACAGTCCCATCTCCAGGAACCCAAGGTTTGCAAACCCAGAATATGGTTTGTCTCCATCCCCCAAAGCCCTCTGAGCGCCCCTCCTCGGGGCTCACCTGCCCTTGGGCATTCCGGTGAGTAAAGGTATATAAGCTCCAGTTCTCACAGAAGCTATTGCAAATCTATGAGCTGAAGTGTAAAATCACACCCTTGCCTTGGCAAATCATAGGAAGCAAAGCGAGCAAGCTGCTGGTAACTGTTCATTTCTGGGCCTGGAGACTCGGGTGTTTGTGCCTTGGTCTCTGGCCCAGCCCTTAGGGTCACTGCACTGGTCATCCGTAGGGAGCTAGCTCGCATTGGATGGAGCTCATCTGTTCTGACCAGGGCTTATGGACTCTATCATGAACCACCTGACTCGAGAACCCCCTTCTGTGTTGACAGGAGCAGAACCCTCCCAACGTCCCTGTGCCAGCCCAGGCCTCCAGCGTGGGGACCCAGCCGCCCACTGTGTCCGTGGCCAGCACTCACAGCAGCACCCCCTATCTCAGTGGCCAGCAGCAGGCGGCTGTAATGAAGCAGCATCAGTTGCTTTTGGATCAACAAAAGCAGAGGGAGCAGCAGCAAAAGCATTTGCACCAACAGCAGTTCTTGCAGAGGCAGCAGCACCTTCTGGCAGAGCAGGTAAAGAGAGAAGGGGAAGAAAACCGTCCCCGTCCCCCCCCTTCCCTCCGCCCCTCCCCCTCCCGTCTACCCCCACATCTCATCCTGCCTCCCGAGTCGCCACAGTGGCCACAGCTCAGCTGGGTGCCATGGGAATGTGTGCTCGTTGCATGTTTGGTAGTAATGTGTGCTCGGTGCATGTTTTAAACCTCTTTCTGTGAGTGTGGCATTTCTCAGAGAGTGGTGGCCTGTCAGTGGTGTCAGTAGCAGCTTTTATGTCTCAGGACCAACAAGCTCCCTCTGAGTCCTGCAGCTCATCCACTTGGTCGCCAAGTTAAGTGGGAAGGTGCCAAGGTTCTCAGATTTTAAATTACATCCTTAAGACTTAAGAGAAACCCTGGCTGGGTTGCTCAGAGGTTAGAACACCAGCCCACATATCAGAGGGTTGCAGATTCAATTCCCAGTCAAGGGCACATACCTCAGTTGCAATTTCATCCCCAGCCCTGGTCGAGGCATGTGCGGTAGTCAGCCAGTCAATCTCAATCTCTCTTTCTCCCTCCTCCTCCCTTCCACTCTCTAAAAATAAATGGAAAAAGAACATAAGAGAAGAACTAGCCATTCATGGTTCAAATTGATTGAAAATGACTTTGAAACCCACATGACTACTTTGGTTCTGCCATTTTTTAGAAAACAGCTCTATACATGACACAACCCACGTAAAGTGAATAATTCTGTAGTTTTTAGTATATTCAGAGTTGTGCAACCATCACCACAGTTTTAGAACCTTTTATCACCTAAAAAGAAACCCTACCCAGCTGGCATGGCTCAGTGGTTGAGCATCAATCTATGAACCAAGAGGCCATGATGTGATTCCTGATCAGGTCATGTGCCCAGATTGTGGGCATCAGGAAGCAGCCAATCAATGATTCTCTCTCATCACTGATGTTTCTTTCTCTCCTTCTCCCTTCCTTTCTGAAATCAATAATATATATATATATTTAAAAGAAACCCTAAACCCTATATCTTTTAAAAGTTATTTCCCCCATCTTCCAAGCCTACAAAACAACTAATCTACTTTCTTTCTCTATAGTTTTTCCTATTTGTGAATATTTTATATAAGATCAAGGTTCAGCCTTGTTGTAGCATGCATCATTATTTTCCTGCTTTTTATGACGGAATAATATTCTGTTGCATGAATATGTCATATTCATTTCTCAGTTTATCTGTTGGTAGACAGTTGGGTTGTTTCCCGAACTTTTTGTGGACACATGTCTCAGCTCTGAGTGTATGTCTAGGGGTGGGACTGTGGGTCCTGTGGTGACTCTTGTGTTTAACCTTTGGAAGAATTGCCAGACTCTCTACAAAGTAGCTGCACTGTTACCCATGCCCACAGCAGTGTGAGGCGATCCGGTTTCTCCACATCTTCCCCACACTTGTCTTTTTATTCCTGCCATCCTACTGCATGTGAAGTTGTATGCCATTGTGGCTTGTGCCTTCCTTCAGAGTGATTTTGTTTGTCTGTTTTTAATCTTCATCTGAAGATATTTTTTCCCCATTGATTTTTCCAAAGAGAGCGGTAGGATGGGGGAGAGACAGAGAGAGAGAGACGTTGATGTGAGAAAGGCATATTGATCGGTTGCCTTTTGCATGAGCCCAGGGAATCGAGCCTGCACTGAGGTATGTGCCCTTGACTAGAATTGAACCCATGACCCTTCAGTCGGTGGGCCAACACTGAGAAAACCGGCTTAGGCCTCATAGTGTTTATTAAAAATCACCAAAATTAGATCGTGAGCAATATATGATAGTCCTCCAGAGTCTGTCTGTGAGTAACAAGCTTGGACAGTTTTCTTTTCTCTGATGTAACACTGTTTTTCTTTTACGTGGGTCTTGTTTTGTTCTGTTCTTGGAATTTTCTAGGAGAAACAGCAGTTTCAGCGCCATCTGACCCGCCCACCACCCCAGTACCAAGACCCGACCCAGAGCACCTTTCCACAGCAAGTGGGGCAGTTCACAGGTGAGGGGCATTGGGGGATGGAGTGGGGCAGGGGAAGGTAGGCATGCCCAGAGCTGGTGGGATGTTCCACTTGTGCTGAGTTCCTGCTGTCTGTCTAGCTTTTCGCTAGGTGCTCAGTGAGTGTACTTTGCTCGTATAAACTTCAGTCTGCCTGCAGAGCCTGCTTTCAGTCACTCTGAGGGCCAGAAGAGGGTGAGAGAGGCAGACCACTTTGGCTAAATATTTTGGCTGTGTCCCTGGCTATACGGTCTTTTGAAGCAAAATCATATCTAGTTGAAAAATATCTTATCAATAGGAAGTGTCTTCTGTAATTCTTTTTTCTTTTTTTCTTTTTTTTTAATATTTTATTGATTTTGTACAGAGAGGAAGAGAGAGGGATAGAGAGTTAGAAACATCGATGAGAGAGTCATCAGTTGCCTCTTTCACACCCCCTACTGGGGATGTGCCCGCAACCAAGGTACATGCCCTTGACCGGAATCGAACCCGGGACCCTTCAGTCCCCAAGCCGACGCTCTATCCATTGAGCCAAACCAGTTTGGGCTGTAATTCTTTTTTCTTTTAATTTTTATTAAATATCAGAGGCCCAGTGCACGAATTCTTACACGGGTGGGGCTCTCTTGGTGGCCTGCAGGATCGAGCTGAAACCGACTTTCTGACATCCCCCAATGGGTCTCGGATTGCAAGAGGGTACAGGCCAGGCTGAGGGACCCCACCAGTACACAGTCAGGTCAGGGAGGACTGCACGAAGGCTCCAGGGCATGTCTGGCCCATCTCACTCAATCCTGATCAGCTGGGCCCCAGCAGCAAGCTTACGTATTGTTCGGAGTATCTGCCCTCTGGTGGTCAGTACACATCATAGCGAGTGGTTGAGCAGCCTTAGCATATCATTAACATATTATACTTCGATTGGTTGGACAGACAACTGGACAGTTAGCATATTAGGCTTTTATTATATAGGATAATGGGGTGACAGTAGTTTACAGGATCATAGAGGTGTCGGGTGTACATTTCTGTGATATGTTATCTGTGTGCCCACCATCCAAAGTCAATCCATCTTCTGGCACCATTTCTGTAATTCTTTTTTCTTTTCCTTTTTTTTTTTTTTTAAATATTTTTATTGATTTTTTACAGAGAGGAAGAGAGAGGGATAGAAAGTTAGAAGCATCCATGTGAGAGAATCATCTATCAGCTGCCTCTTGCACACCTCCTAGTGGGGATGTGCCCGCAACCAAGGTACATGCCCTTGGCCGGAATCGAACCTGGGACCTTCCAGTCCACAGGCTGACACTATCCATTGAGCCAAACTGGTTTCTGCCCATTTCTGTAATTCTTAAGAAAGTTCTTTGCTTCAGCAAAATGATCTCTCACAGTTTCCAGATAAGGAGACACAATGCACCTTTGTGGGCTTTGCTTCTTCTTTTCTTTCTGCTCACTTTGGTGTCACAAGTGGCAACATCAGCCCTGGACAGCTGACCAGGAAAGGAAGGCAGCACTCTGGAAGGTCTCAGCTGTCACATGTCAGATTTGCAAGGGAACTTGGCTGCCATTGCTCAGTCTGGCACTCCAGAAATACATAGAGATGCCAGTTGACAGATGCAGTGAAATGTGGTTTGCTCTAGGAATATCTTCAAAACCTGTCCTTTTCTTGGTCAGTGACTCTCACTATAGTGTCCCAGGGAAACTGACCACAGCTGTGCATTCTGGAAGAGCCCAGATGAGTTTTATGTGCATGCTGACCAGGAAAGAGGAGTTGAAGTCAGCAGACATCTCAAAAGCCTGGGTCTTAGCCAGCTTTCCTGCCTTCACCCACCTATTGTTGTTATGAGCTGTCAGTGGAAGTGAAATAGACTGTATCTTTTCCTCCACCCAGTTTTTAGTTAGGTGCAAGTGGAGAGAGTGAGAGGAGCAACCAAGTGCTCAGGTAAGGCCAACCCCCAAACAATTGCTCTCCTACCCGCCTTCGTGAGTGCTGTCACCATGAATCCATTGCTTAAGGCAGAGGTCCAGACAGCAAGTTCCCCTAGGACAGAGGACAGAGCCCGTCTATCACATTTCTTGGTGGGCGCTGACCAAGGGCAGGCGCTCTATAACCGCCTGCTGACTGCAGTCTGTACTGCTCCGCCCCCTGAAGAGTAAGCGCAAACACTCTCCCTGTCACCCCTAGGGGGCGCGTTTGCTTGCAACAGGAGTTAACAGCTCCTACCCAGCAGGGTCTAAGCCACAGTCACAAGCCAGTTATCCTTCGGCTGTGCAGCCCTGCCCTTCCCACGGCAGCCACAGCTCTTGTGAATCTGGCTGAGCTGTCTCTGCAGTTCTGTCTCTAACCAGCTGGATGCTTTTGCCACAGCCCAGCTACAGAGTTCCCCACACCCACTGCCTTTCATAACCTCAGACCTCTGCATACACTTTCCTCTGTATCTAGAGTCCTGTTTCTCCAAACTGCTCAACTTCTGTCAACCCTTTTTAAAAAATATATTTTATTGATCTTTTACAGAAAGGAAGAGAGAGGGATAGAGAGTTAGAAACATCGATGAGAGAGAAACATCGATCAGCTGCCTCCTGCACCCCCCCACTGGGGATGTGCCCGCAACCAAGGTACATGCTCTTGACCGGAATCGAATCCAGGACCCTTCAGTCCGCAGGCCGACGCTCTATCCACTGAGCCACACCGGTTTTGGCTACCTTTTTTTTTAATAGATCAGTATTTACTTTGCTTAGTAGTAAAACTGTTTTAAAATTTTTTATTGATTTCAGAGAGGAAGGGAGAGGGAGAGAGAGATAGAAACATCAGTGACGGGAAAGAATCAATGATCAGCTGCCTTCTGCACTCCCCCTACTGGGGATCAAGTCCTCCAACCCAGGCATGTGCCCTGACCAGGAATTGAACTGCAATCGCCTGATTAATATGTTCGGGGTTTTTTAATATATATATTAAAATATATATATTAATAATATATATATATATATTATTGATTTCGGAGAGGAAGGGAGGAGAGAGAGACAGAAACATCAAAGATGAGAGAGAATCACTGAGCAGCTGCCTCTTGCACATCCCCTACTAGGGATTGAGCCCCCAACCTGGCATGTGCCCTTGACCAGAATTGAACCCAGGGACCCTTCAGTCCACAGGCTAACGCTCTATCCACTGAGCCAAACAAGCCAGGGCTTGATTCATATGTTGACACTCGACCACTGAGCCACAGCAGCCGGGCATGCCTACCCTTTTAAAACACAACATACTCATCGTCATCTCTGAAGCCTTCCCCAAGTCTCCCAGGCATTGAGCTTTCATCCCCTGTGCTCCCCCAGCCTGCTGCCTGGTCTTTGTGGAACCCTGTCACAGCACGTGGTGCCTTCACCTCCCAAAGGCAGGTCCTGAGGCAGATCCTAGGAGCCCCCAGTGCCCAGCATAGAGCCTCACGGAGCAGAGATTGGGTGGGCCTCGGAGGGTGAACTAGTCAAGTCCACTGGCTTCTTTCTCCTCACTCTGCCCTTCCTCAGCACCTGTCTTAATCTCCTTATTGCTGCAGCTGCCCCTCAGCCCAGGCTCTCAGAGGTTCCATGAATTCTGTTTGTGCCCATAGGCTAGCAGCTGCACCTCGGGTCATAGAGGTGTCACCACCGTGGTGGTCAAGAAATGTCAACTTGAACCGAAACCGGTTTGGCTCAGTGGATAGAGCGTCGGCCTGTGGACTGAAGGGTCCTGGGTTCGATTTCAGTCAAGGGCATGTACCTTGGTTGCAGGCACATCCCCAGTGGGGTGGGGAGTGCAGGAAGCAGCTGATTGATGTTTCTAGCTCTCTTCCTTCCTCTCTGTAAAAAATCAATAAAATATATATTTTTTAAAAAAAAGAAATGCCAACTTAATTGACAGAATCTTCTCTGTCTTCTAGGGTCTTCTGCCGCCGTGCCTGGCATGAACAACTTGGGTCCATCGAACTCCAACTGTCCTCGGGGATTCCCTCAGGCCGGGAATCTGATGCCAATGGGCCCTGGTCACACCTCGGTTTCCTCTCTCTCCTCAAACTCAGGCCAGCAGGACCGTGGTGTCGTTCAGTTCACTGGCTCCCAGAGCATGCCGCAGGGCAGCCTCTATGGCATGGCCTCTGGCATAACCCAGATAGTTGCCCAGCCCCCGCCACAGGCCACCAACGGACACGCCCACATTCCACGGCAGACCAGCATGGGCCAGAGCGCCTCCGTCCCCGCCGCCTACGGACAGAGCTCTCTGGGCGGCTCTGGCCTCTCCCAGCAGCACAGTAAGGGGACGCTGAACTCGGGTTTAACTAAGCCACAGGTCCCGAGGGTGTCGGCAGCCATGGGCGGCCAGAATCCCTCCTGGCAACATCAGGGGATGCCGAACCTGGGTGGCCAGGCCCCCGGGAGCGACGCCGTAAGCTCTTTCACGGCAGCCCCCGGCTTCCACATGCAGCAGGCCCACCTCAAGATGTCCAGCCCGCAGTTCTCCCAGACGATGTCCAGTAGGCCCATGGCCCCCATGAGCTCAGCGGCTGCAGCGGGGCCCATGCTGACCCCCGTGAGTACGCAGCAGAGGACCAGTGCCCCCGCCCCGGCCCCTCCCCAGGGAGCCCCACAACAGGGCCTGCCAGGCCTGAGCCCTGGTGGGCCTGACCTGGGGGCCTTCAGCCAGAGCCCTGCCCCACCCATGGGCGGCCGAGCAGGGCTGCACTGCACCCAAGCCTACCCTGTGCGGACTTCGGGCCCGGAGCTGCCCTTCGCCTTTAGCGGGCAGCCGGGGGGCAGTGGGCTGTCCAGCATGGCTGGCGACGCCGACCTGATCGACTCGCTGTTGAAGAACAGGACTTCGGAAGAGTGGATGAATGACTTGGACGACCTTTTGGGGCCTCAGTAATGGGAGGATTTATGATGTTTTCAGTGTTCCTACATCCTGTATTTTTGTTCTCACATTTAACAATGAGCTACTATTTGGACCAAAAGCTCAGAGCCCGGGTTGCTGGGTGGGTAGAGCAGAGGCTGAGCCCGAGGCTTCACCAGGCAGGATCTGCAGAGCCCCTGCTCCAAGCCAGCAGTGTGGTCTGTCGGGCTGGCCCCAGGCCATCTGCTGTGTCATTACCTGGTGTTGGGACAATAGGACGGGGTTCTACGGGTGGTTTTCTATCCAAATGACCAAAACTCAACAGTTAGAGCAGTGTAACCCAGTCAGGCTTAGAAAAATCTCTGCCATCATGTCGGCTAAATCCAAGATTTCTCCACTTGCCCTAATGCTGGGGACAAGTTTTTGTTGAAACTTTATATAACAGAATTATTTGCAATTTGTAGCAGATTAAATTTCTTTAAAGTCTAGAGCAGAATAGGCGGTGGTGGCAGTTAAGTGAGTGGCCTCGGAAACCTGGGGCTCCCTTTGAAGAGCCTCTTTTACTCTTGCTTTTTTGCCGGCTGTCAGGGCGTGTCCCTGGAAACCCTCCGTGAGTAAAGTCTGTGACTGCGAACCAGGGCCCGGGTGCCGTGAGGTGGCAGCAGCCCCTCCTTCCAGAGCGGCTCTGGGCCCTGGCGGAGGAACCCTTCCTCCCCTGCGCTGGCAGCAGGCCCGAGGCCGAGTGCGGAGTGCGATAGTTAGGATTCCTGCGTCCCCGTCTGTTGAAACTTCCGCCTTTTGCGGTCAGTTTCTCTGACAGCATATATTTAATGTATTAGAAGATGATCATTGTTGAGTTGTGCACAGATGTCTTTCCTTCACCCCATTCACCCTTCCTTCTCCAGCCCAACTGGAAAACCTCCTTTAGGCAACACTTTCCGAGATGGGGGGGGGAGAGCCATTGCAGTTCCGCAGTGTGGGGGAAGGTGTCCCTCCCCAGAAGGACCAGTTTGGGGAGGGAGGGTGAAAGGTGTGCCCTCAGGCTCTGGGGGAGGCCCAGCCAGGCCCCTCGGGAAGGAACTCCACTTTGTTTTCACTCTTGCCACTGCCGTGTCAATGATTGCACTTTTAAAGGTGATTGCTTTATAACACTAACACATCCTTTCTAAGGACTCAAGGGGATTTCTCTTGTAAGGTCTATGAATTAATGGACTTGACTAAGCTAAGAGTGGGCTGCTTGTGGAAAATGAGGATGGAGAGAGCACTTTGGTACAAGGAAAACAAAATGGTCAGGGCAGGGTGAGACCCTTTCACGGTGATGGAGATAAAGTGGTACACGGAAGAGTGGGAGTATGCAGAGTGGTCTCGAGAAATCCCAGCTCCATTTCCCTGGAGTCTCCAAATGGTTAATGCAAGGAGTGTCACCCGTAAAGAACTGAGCCAAGGAACAGATTCGTGCGGCCAGCCTGCAGGGATGGGGGTTGTACTCATGTTGGTAACGATTTGCACCAGCCGTGCCTTGCTGAGGGTCCTTGGACCCTCAGATCCTCTTCTCTAATAGCCATTTTTCACCACAAATGGTGATGTTGGGCCATTTCCCCTTTAACTGCCCTCCCTGCCTTTCCCTGATGGTGAGCTTAGCTTTCGAAGAAGGGAATGAGTGAATCATAGAGCCAGTGAAGATTCCACCCTCTGAGTGAGTTCCCCCGTCTGAAGGGGAAGAGGGTGACTTCAGCAGGTTTTCTACCAAAAACAGTGGGTGAAGGCTAACGATGGGCCCTGTTCCTTTCCCTCTGGCTGCTGCTCACCTCTGTCCCCAGGGCACTCCACCTCCTTCGGGAGGGCTGCCCCAGCCTTAGTCCTGGGCCACCTAGAGAGACAGCAGGCTTCTCACTGCTGTGGTGTCAGAGCAATAAAATGTGATGCTTGGGGTCCCCCCAGGGAGCTGCCCGCGGCTTTATTTATGAACCTGGTTTTTGGGTAGTTGGGGGGAGAGGACCCCACTGCAGTGCAAACCCTCCCCTCCGTCTTCCAGGAGTCAGGACTCAAAAGGGTGCTCGGACTTTGTTATACACATTTGCTTTGTGTAAATAAATGTTTACAATTTTATATTAAAGATGGAATAAGTGTTAGAGCTTCTGACTGTATATTGTTTACTTTTATAGATTTTTAAACTATGATCTTTATATGTGTTCTGGGGAGCTATGGTAAGTTTTATGACAAACAATTGGTATTAACTTTTTATTGTCATCAAAGTACATAAAAATCCTATTAATCCCCTTATTCTTCTACTTCCCTTAACTCTGGTATACACCAAAAAGAAATCCTGCCTCGTTTTATCATTATAAAATAATAAAAGTATTTTGCTAGTATGGAAACTGCCTGTGTATTGACTTAACATGGCAGTGCCTGCAGGGTGGGCAGCATGGTGTGGGCCGTGACTGATTTTCTTTTGGGGTTTCTCTCTTTTCTTATTGAGCATAGGCGGTGGGATGTGGCTTGGTTTACCTTGGTATTTGAAGGTAGATATGAAATTAGAACTCACATCATTCAGGGTCACTGGCTCTTCCCGCTCCGGCTCTCCCAGGTCTTCATTTCTAATGTGAGGGAAGACGATGAGACAAGACCTCCGTTCTTATCTTCTTGAGGGAAAGATTTCAATCAAGAGACAAAGTAGAGAAGCAAACAAGAATGTATTAAACAAAGCAAAATGAACCTAGGAGAGTGAAACAAGGAAGGGCATAGAAGCAGCAGAACCTAGACTGGGAAGTCAGAAAAGGGGCCTTGCAGACACAGGGGATTGGCCCGGGACAAGCTGCTGCTGCCCAGTGCTCCCCTGGTTGTGAGCTTCATGGTGTCCCTTACGACTAGGGTGTGTGTGCCTGTGAGGGAGGGGGAGGGAAGGGAAGAGCTTGGGAGTGCTCCCTGGAGGGGGAGAGCCCACTGGGACCTTCATTTTCACGGGTTTTAAAAGTAGGGCATTTCGGGGAGGTCTTCGAGATGGATCGATAGAATATCCATCAGCTTAATGCTCATAATGTGTGTCTTTTGGTGTGGTTAGCTAATGGCACTTAATTGGATTTCTGTTATCTGTCTCCCTGTGTAGAGGATTTAAGCAAACCATTTACTCTTTTTTCTTTTTCTTTTTTTAAGAGAGAGGATGGGAGATATTAGGTCTAGTAATAATTAATGTCGTTTTCTAATACTTTTTTTAAAATCGAATTTACTTAAACAATACAACAAAATTTAATCAATATAGTTGCCGTTGTTTTCTACTACTTGTGCCCAATGCTCAGGAAGCATTTTAATCCCTCTGTTGTAAAATTCTTGTGATTTTGATGCAAAAAATTCGGCCAATGCATTTTTGAGGCATTCTTCATTATTAAATTTTTTTCCAAGAAGAAAGTTTTGCAAAGAACGAAACAAATGGTAATCGGAAGGGGCAATATCAGGAGAATATGCAGGTTGAGGGAGAACTTCCCATTCCAACTGGCGCAGTTTTTCAACAGTGATTCTTGCAGTATGCGGTCGTGCGTTATCGTGTTGAAGAATTACGCCCTTCCGATTAATCAGCGCGGGTTCTTTTTCTCTTAAAGCTTGGGCTAACCTTTCCAATTGGGCACAATACACTGCACTTGTAATGGTTTGGTTAGATGGTAAAAGTTCATAATGAAGAATTCCTTTAAAATTCCACCAAACACACAACATCACTTTTTTCGCATGCAAGTCAGGTTTTGGCGTGGGCTGCGGAGCCTCATTTTTGTCCAACCATTGAGGCCGCCTTTTCAAATTAACATACAGCACCAATTTTTCATCTCCGGTAACAATTTGCTCTAAAAACGGCAAACGGTTTTGACGAGAGAGGAGCGGACTGCAAATTGTGACTCTGATTACGGTTGTTGTCGGTCAACTCATGAGGAACCCATTTTCCAAACTTTTGGACTTTGCCAAGTGCACGCAATTGATTGGAAATTGTTTTTTGTGAACAATTTAAAGTTGTCGCAAGTTCTTGTTGGGTAATTTGAGGATTTTGCACCAAAAGAGCTTGAAGAGCTTCTTGATCAAAATTGGACACACGGCCTCGACCACTCTTGTCATCTAACGAAAAGTTTCCCTCGCGAAATTTCTCAAACCAACGCTGGCATTTTCTGGCGCTAACTGCATCTTGACCAAGAGCACTACAGATGTTTTTTGCAGCCTCACTTGCTTTTCTTCCTAATTGGAACTCGTAAAGCATGCAGTGCCGAATATGCTCTTCATCCGCCATCTTCTTAGCCCTAGTTTTGCAACAAAAACCAAACCAAACACAAACTTTTTCAAGCAAAACTTGTTAATTGCACTTCACACGTTCTGTAGATACCACGTGTTTGAAGGTTATGTCAATACAAGTCAACGCCAAGCAAGATTTTAAACGAATGTTTAAAAACGACATTAATTATTACTAGATCCAATAGATGGAAACATTGATGAGAGAGAAACATTGATTGACTGCCTCCTGCATGCACCCTACTGGGGATAAAGCCCACAACCCAGGCATGTGCCCTGGTCAGGAATTTGAACTGGGGACCTCTTAGTTCATGAGTTAACACTCAGCCACACTGGCCAAGCACACACCACTTACTCTTAAGTGTTCTTCATTTAGGGAAGATAGGATTTATTAGGTGGGCACAAACTACTGTTTGTCTGTCTCAGTGCCCCTATTATGCTTGTCCTGGGATTTCCTAGCTTAACAGTTGGACCAGTATTTTCTTTTTTTTTCTTAATCCTCACCCAAGGATATCTTTCCCATTGACTTTTAGAGAGAGTGGAAAGGGGGGGGAGAGAGGCACATTAATTAGTTGCCTCCTGCACCCCCACCAGGGCCAGGGGACCTGCAACGAAGGATCCCTTGACCAGAATCAAACCCAGCACCCTTCAGTCCTCGGGCTGACATTCTATCCACTGAGCCAAACCAGCTAGCGCCAGATCCTTTAGGTCTTAATAGTTCAAATGTTTTACAGCTATACCTTATAGATGTTGTGGGTTTGGTTCCAGAC